CTTTCCCTTTCATTTTTATTTTTCTTCTCAAAAGGATGTGAAAATTATTTGAGAAAACACTACAACAAAATTTTCATATAGTGACACACACCTTATAGTGACACTATACATGTCACTAAAAATTATTTTTACCCACACAATAACTACAATATATGTTGGTATATTATTAAAAAGTGTAGGTATAAACTATAGTGACACATAAAATATGTTGTTAAATCTCATTCAAAATTAACTATAAAATTATATGTAACTATATGTCAAATAGACATATACCTACATATATTGTACCTATAGTGACACTTTTTGTATGTCACTATATGTAACATTTCTTGTAGTGAAAATAAGATAAGTTAGCAAACGACAGTAAGAGAGGTATGTTGTGTTAGAATTGTCATCTAATAAAGAATTTTACTTAATTCAATAAAGATATAAGAATAAATGTGTTTCTGGATATGTGATATTGATTTAAAATTCACGTGAATTTACAAGAGATATAGGTTTGATTTTCGTATTAAATATTGTTTAAAAACTTATTATTAAAATTATTTTTAAGTGTGTAATTATAAATCTTTACAAAAAAAATTCCACAATTAATTTTATTTGATAGAGAAATTACTCTTAATTTTTTCCAAGTGAATGTAAATTTTCACATCTTAAAATTAATTATATTAATATCCAAACATGCAACAAACGTGATTCTAATCATCTTGGACACAATAGAATAGATTTTAAACATGTTTGACATGAAACAAAATATACCCTAATTTAAGATATATTTAGTTAACATTTAATTAGAATATGATTTATAACTTTAGTTAATTGGTATATGGTAATTAATATTAGATTATGTATGTGTTTGTACACATAATGAGAGTTAAAAGCAAACAATATTTAAGATGTCCAGATCCTAATGATATTAATGGACTTACATTAGGAATATAAGGATAATCAAGTTACTCTTGTTACTTAACTTCAATTAAAGTTTTGTCTTGACACATTTAAAAGTTGCACATAACTTATGGGTTAAAATTTACAATCTTTATAAATATTTTTCTCCTTAACTTATTAAGACATCTTTTTAAAGACAAAATCATGATCATTTAACAAACTTTAAAGTAAACAATATTTTGATGTAATAATCCTAACAATATCAATGAATCTATGATCGAAATATTAATACTAGAATTAATTTTTATTTAAAGCCTATTTTTATATTACATTAAATTAGAATTATTATTTTTTATAACGATGATAATAAAGATCAAATTTAGTAATAAGTCACAAGAAACTATGAGTTTGTTTGAATAAATTTCTTTATACATACTTATAGAAGAAAAAAGTAAAAAATAAAAATAAAACAAACTTCTCTAAAAACTTACGTATAAATTAATTTATAAGAGTTTCTCACATTAATTTCTCTAAAATATGTTGTAACTAATTTTAACTTATAAAAAAAAGTTAATTTCATTTATATTTATTATTATTTCATCCTTATGTCGAGACAGATCAATTGCTGGCATAGATGATACTAGCTCAATATGCACAACACCAAAACTATAGAGTATAGACATCACTCTTGTTTGTGAGTTGGTAGCATCAGTGAGTTGGTAGCATCGGTGATATTCGGGATCAACATAGCCAGGACTTCCTTGTTTTGACATCACGGTGAATGATGTCAGAAGAATGGAGATAGGCCAACGCAGTAGCAGTCTCTATGGCCACTTTTAATCGGATAGGCCATGACAAAAAGCCACCATTATTTGTTGATCCATTTGAAATGTATTCATACACAAGCTGTGACGTGAAGTGCAGCCATAGAGAGACACTAAATTTTCATGGCGCAAGCGTGTGAGGATCTTGATTTCATTCATGAACTGTTCTAATCGCCTATAATTGTGTTCACATAGGCGCTTCACGCCAACTTCATGTATCGTCGAGTTTTCCTAGTTAGTAAAATAGAGATGAATGAAAGATATTTACTAATTTATTATTATTTTCATTGAAGGTGGAGTTTAACTGTGTGAGACAACATACCATAGTAAACATTAGATAATTGTACTTGAACACTGGTAACAGCAGATATAAATTGAAAGGGATCCTGAGGAGAGTCATCTGATAATGCAAGTTGAATCCTTGAACACGGTGCTAATGAGGTGGTCCGGAGGCAGTTGAGAGTTTGGAAGGCCATATATATAGTAGATATCGTAGTCAGAACAGTTTGAATATTTATAAATATACTTGGGAAGGCCGGTGATCCCGTGGGAGCGATTGCATCTGAAGACAGTGATGTTATACTTGACGTAAAAAGAAGCTAAAGGAGAGGGGTGAGCAAGTGTAAAATTGTAGCTGAAAGCTTTGCAATTTTTGGTTCGCAAATAATGTTCTTGTTCCTCATCTTTGATCATTATGGTGAGAGATTGAAGTCGCAGAACAGTGTAGCATTTTGATTTTGAAATGTATAGTTGGAGGGTATTGTTAGCATTGAACAGTTTCCATTCTGAGCTGAAACAAAGGAGCAGAAGCTGGGACAACACTAAGATTACTAGCTAGTTTCAAGATGACAAGGGACAACATTAGTAATGCCAAGAATCGACAAGCAAATATAACTAAAACTAAGGAAGAAACAATAAATGCACGCATTCAATGCAATGTAGCAAAGCAGAGAACACCCCCTTTCTTTAAGAGGAGAGGTGGGGACGGAGTCTTGATAATTACGTAGAATTCAGAAGGAGATTCCAGTGTATTGCATTGCATGCACCTTGTGTTTCAGAAGGAGATTCCAGTGTATTGCATTGCATGCACCTTGTGTTTCAAACCATCACACATTTAATATATACCATCGTTTTCAAGTCCTTGATATGCCACTTGACTTCGAATAGCTTTTCTTCTAAAGTATGATTTTAGGGTCCTTTACCCCTTTAGTGGTTAAGATATTATCGATTATCCTATCCTATCATGTCATAATGCATGATAAACATATTATAATGCACGACATATAATTTTATTTTATTTTTATATTTTGTTGCTCTAGTATTTTTTTTTAACAAAGAGTTGAATTAAGAAATAACATAATAAGATAAGTTCATCTCAACACTCAAATACATTGACTTGCTTTGGAAGAATTAACCCACAATTTCTTTCTATTTATTTTATTCTATAAGTATTTATGAGAATATTTAAAAAAAATTGTAAAATATTTTATGAATAATTCATAAAATATTTTAAATTTATTTTAATAATTTTCTGCTTATATTTAAATTTATTGACTAATACATGATTTTTTTTTCATTCATTCATTAAAAATTAGTTATGTATTTTTTTTTTCATTATTCCTTCAGGAGATTTTCATTTCTTCCTCCAATTTTTTTTTTTATTGTAGGACAATTGTCTCCTGTCAATAAAATCAAATAAGACAATTGTCTAAAATTTGTTCCTCTTTATTTTTTTTTCTCTTTCCCCTAAAAACTTTTCCATCCCTTTCCCCAAAAATCTTCATTCCATTATTCTAAGAAATATCTCTTAATTTTTTTTTCTTTCAAAAATAGCTCATCTCATTTATTAAAAATCTCGGTGTTAAAGGTTTGTAACATTTTTTTTCTATCAAAAGTTTCCGTTACTATTTTATAACTTATTGTTTTTACTCATCGCATAATTTTCATTATAGAAATCAAAATTCAAATACTCAAGTTCTTTTAATCATCACATAACATCTTCTCTTTTTTTTTTTTAATTTATGATTCATAAATTTAAATCATAATTATATATAATTAATTTATTATATTTTATTATTAATTTTATTTTTTATAAATTAAAATTAGGTGAATGGTGACTAGTAATTTTTACTTTCTTAATATTATTATGTTATATAATATCTTTTTAAAAAATTATTTAATTATTTTTAAAATTTTATTTTATTTTCAATCAAGATTTAATTTATAAATTTAAAATTTTAAAATAAGATAATATCTTATAAGTGCTTAAATAATAATATATATAATCACTTTAAAATAATCTAAGTGTTTCTCGTGTATATTCAAATACAACAACTTATAAAATGTTAAACACTTATAAAATAAGTTTTTAATACATAAAAGTGTATTAAATAAAATTTTAATTAAGTTATTTATTCAAACGGATCCATTATGTCACTATTATATTATTCAAAATAACAATATATATAGATATATTAAATATAAATTAGATATAATATTTAATAATAATTTATATTATATACCAGTAGAATCTAAACATTTTTTGTTTCTATATTTTATTTAATAAAAGTATTTTAAAATTATTAATGTTTGATAAATTAATTGATATTATATTTGATTTTCAAATTTAATGATCTTATAAATTTTTAATATTATTTTTTATTATTTAAAACTTAAAAATAAAATTAATAAGATAATTTTCTTTATTATATGTTATAAATGTTATAGATGTTATTTAATATCAAATTATAAAATAATATTATTATTTTGCGTCTCCTTCTATTACATTTCTTGCCTTCCAGATGTGAAAAATATTTTTTCTATAACATAAAGAAGATAAATGAGTCAGTCAAACGGTAGTGAGAGTAAAGAAATGTATCCTAACAACTCTCATTAGCAATTCTCATAAAAAAAAACAAATAAATAAACTAACGAAAGAAAGAGATATATTGAAAATTTGTATAATGATTTTTATAACATTAAAAATATTAATCCCCTTAAAATAAACATGAAAAATATTAATTATACTTTTAATTAATGAATAATAAAATAATTAGAATGGACTTTAATTCTTAATTAAAATTTATTAAAAAAAATATAAAATTATAGATTTAATAGAATTCATTAAATAAAAAATGAGATTCACACAATTTTATAATTTTTAATTAATTTTAATAAAAAATATATTAGAGTATGATACTATTATTTGTGATATGGTAATTATATATGACAATATTTCTTTTATGTTACTTACGCATAATATATTCTTAGAAAGGAACATCAGTTTTAGTTGTGTCTAATTATAATAAATAAATATTTTTAAATATATAAATTATATTATAATTAAAAATTTACTTCACTAGAAGGAGACTATAAGTTTACTAAGATAAATTTCTCCATAATATTCGTAGAAAAAAAAATGAAAAATTGAATAAATTTATTTAAAAGATAAAATTAATTTATATATAAGTTAATTCGTGAAAATTCTATTCCATTAACTTTTCAGAACTATTCCTTTTAACTTGTTTATAAACTAATTTTAATTTATAAACTTTTTTATTCTTATTTTCTTCTTCTAAAAATGTTTATGAAAAAAATATATCTAAATAGACCTATATTTATATTCTCTACACACTAAAAAAATTAATTTATATTATTCTTATCTTTGGTTTAAATTTTGAACTTAAGTTACTTCAAAATAATTATGCATATTTTCAATAATTTTATATATTGTTAAAGTTAAACTATTTATATTTTGGTCGAATTAATTATGTCTTTCTCTTATATTTTTAATATAGTTTCCTATTTTAATTTGTTTTCCTTTTATTTTCACTCGAGATATTTTCTAGCTAGTCATTTAACTATGTTAGGGTTTCACAGCCCAAACTGTTAATTAGGATTTTATTTTATTTAAATTTTTGTTGAAATTATTTTGAAATATTTATACAGATTATGTTTAAAAATGACATATATTCATAAAGATATGCAAAATAGTAAATAGTAAGGTGGCTTGTGAAATGTAAATGTGAAGTAATTTTAAAAACTTTCCAAGATTCAATTTAGAGTAATTATAGATTTGGAAAAGTTAAAATTTTGTAATGATTTTAAGATTAATCATGATAAAGCTAAAAAGTAAAAAATTAATCAAAGGTACTGATTTAACGTGCAAACCATTTTAAAAACTTAAGTCTCTTGACGATTTCAAAGTCACCGTTGGGAGTCTACGTTTTGTGCTTTTTTGTTTGTTTTTACAAATATAATGAAATGCTTGTTAAACTTATTGTACAAGGTGACTCAAAATGAAACTAATCAATGCGAAAAGTTTGTGGAAAAAATGAAGATCAGGGTGGACTGGAATGGAATGATGATTTTGATGTTTTCATAGCCAAAAGGTCCACACTCCATAATGCACACAACTTTGGAAAATTTATCATATGAGGTTAGATAGAGTGTAGAAGATTAACGAGAGGGGACAAAGTTTTTAGAATGGATATAATATAATTGAAGGTGCTGCCAAGTGTGGCTGTGTCAATGCGTCAAAAACACGTTGGCTTCATTCTCCTATGTCAAAACGCGTTGGCTCACACATAAAATATCTCCGCAACTTATAAATTACACATATATTTTAATAATTAAAAGAACTTTTATTTAATAATTAAAAATAAAATTATGAAGATTTATAAATATCATAAAATAACTCTAATACTAATACTTAATAGATTCTTTTCTTCATATATGAACTTCTCAAGTGACCCATTGGGTATGTACTTGTAAATCAAAGCTCTTTTGGAACCTTGTAGACAAAATCCGAGTAAACTAACGATGTTAACATGAGAAGTGACATTGATGCTAGCAACTTCATTGATAAATTCCTCACCGTTACCTTTGGAGTCGCTTAAAACTTTTACAGCCACAAGACTTCCATCATGTAGCCTCCCCTTGTAAACACTACCATACCCTCCTTCACCCAATTTGTTTTTGAAGGAGATCGTGGCCTTCTTTATCTCTGAATAACTCTATCTATTGGCTGCAAGGTGACCGTGGGTGTTCAGAAACATCTTATTCTTGTAAAACCACCTTCTAATGCACCAAACCAAAAATATCACAAGACTTTAAGAGAATCTATTTCATCATTAATGACTTCTTTTCAAAAAAGGTGCATTAATAGATTGTATAGCTTTGCTATATGTTTTAAGATTATTTTTGTTAGAATACAAACAAGTCTCACATCAATAAAATAAGAGAAAATATAATAATTTATAAAACACACACATATTCTAATGTTAAAGAGACCTTTTGGATAATGATCAAAAACAGAATCGTGAAGACTTAAGTCCCAAAACAAACAATATCTCATCACTATAGGGTTATGTGTGAAAAATCTTATAAAAATAACTCTTATAAAATATTTCCTCAAACAAATATCATAGAATAATCTCATCAATTTTCAAGTAAGAAAGAATAAAATTTAGGACCAACATCTTTAACTTTTCTATTTCTTTTACTTATTTTAGGCTCAACATCCTTGTTAACATTACTACTAAACGGTAAAACAGAGTTAAAAGTATCATAAATAGGTTTAGAAAATTTATTCTTCAAAGGAAAAATATTTTCAAAGAAAACATATCTCTAAATTCTATAATTATATTATTAGAAATTTCAACGACTTTAAAATTAATAACTAAAAATCTATAAGTAGTACTATGTAAAGAATATTCAAAAAAAAAGACAATCAACAGTCTTAAGACCAATTTTTTTTCTTCTTATTAATATGAATATTCACCTTTGCAAGACATCCCTACACTTTTAGATATTTCAAATTTGGTTTTCTATTTTTCCAAAGTTCATAAAGCGTTTTATCTGAATTTTATAAGGAATTTTATTCAAAATATGACATGCAGTAAAAAAAACTTTCCCTCACAAATTATCAGGCAAATCAGAACTTATAAGTATAACATTTATCATGTCTAATAGAGTACAATTTTTTCTTTCAACAATTCTATTAGATTAATGAGCATAGGGTGGAGTGATTTCATGAATAATGTCATGTGATTCAAAAAATTCACCTATTTCACTAGAAGAATATTCTCTTCCTTTATCATAATGAAGAATTTTAATTTTCCTTTCTAATTGATTTTCAACTTCTACTTTATAAACTTTGAATTTATCAAATAACTCACTTTTATAAATAATCAAGTATATATAACAATATTTTGAGAAGTCATCAATGAAGGTAATAAAGTGTTTCTTTCCACCACGAGTAATAACATCATTGTTATCATATATATCACTATGAATGAGTTCAAGCAAGCAAGTTTTCTTTTGGACAAAATTTTGAAAGGATTTTCTAGGTTGTTTAGCTTGAACACAAACTTCACATTTTTATTTCAATTCATTAAAAGATTTAGGCATAAAATCAAGAGTTATCATTCTTTTAATAGAATTCAAGTTAATATGTCCAAGTCTACCATGCCAAGTGTCACAACATTCAACATTTGAAATAGATGATGAAGAAATGCTAGAATGTTTATTAATAAAAGATAACATGAAATTAAGTTTAAACAAACCATCACAAACATATCATTTCCTAACAAAAGAACCATGTCGAGAATTACAACTCTATTGGATTCAAAAACAACTTTAAAACCTTGTTGAACTAACAAAGCAACACCAATCAATTTTTTTCTAATTTCATAAACATGAAAGACTTCCTCTAAAACAAAACAATTTCTTGAAGATAATTCTAATTCTACTCAACCTAGACCAATAACACGTGCTAGGATCCGATTTCCCATGCTCACATTACGTGTTCCACATTCCTGATACGGAGAAAATAATTTTTTATCAACAGACACATAAACATTAGCTCTAGAGTTAATCCACCAATCATTTGAGTTATAAATAAAATTTAACTTTGGGCTAATGACATGATATCTGTTAGATGGGGAATCTGAGTTAGCATTAGCGATAATAACATTAGCCTGAGGCTGAGAAGATGATTTGGGATCAAATGTAGTATCTTTTGGTTGATGACGACGATGAAAACAATTCTTAGCAAAATGATTGTTTCTTCCACAGCCAAAGTAGAAGGACTCATTTTCTTGAATTTTACTCTTTGATTTGTAGTTGTTATAAAAAGCCTTGTTTTTATTTTTGGAGAAATGGGAGCTTTGACCAAACTTATTATTAGAAAAACCAAATTTGTTTGAAAAACTTTTGTTTAAGCTTATTAGAATTTTCCACTAAATGGGCCTTAGCCTGAAAATGAGGTTAATGAGAATCCTTTTGTGAAATACGATGTTTATCTTCAATTCGTAAAGAAGCCAATAAGTCAAAAAAAAGTGAAATGATCAAGTTTATGCTTAAGGCTTCTTGTAAATACGGACCAAGAAAGAGGAAATTTAGAAATTGAAAAACTAACAAGCATTATGTCAGGCAAAGTAATTTCTTTCATCTTCATGTCATAAATAATATTTTCAAATTCATGAACTTGGTCAAAAAAAGGTTTTTCATCTTCCATTTTAAAATAAATCATTATTTCACAAGAGTATTTTCTTAAAACATTTTCAACAAAACCATATTTTAGTTCAAGAGCATCTCATAACTTCAAAGCAGTTTTTTGTATGAAAAAATATTATATAAATATTATCATATAGAGTACTTAAAATACGATCATGACTCAAAATATTTTTATCACTAGAAGTATCATCAGAAGAGTTTACTTTAACCACAACACTATTAGAACTTCTTTCAAGATTTCCATTTAAAATGACAAAAAACAACCCTAGTTCTGTTAGCTAAAATTTCATCAGTTGTTGACTTGTTGCCAACATCAAAAAAATTTCACCATTATGTTTTTTGCCTTATTGCTCAAAGACTTTAAAATATCCATTGTAAACATGTTGATATTGAACAAGAAAAGAATTTTCTCTCTAAGATTGTTGTTATTAAAAATTTAATAGAGCACTTAAAAAATAAATACTTAAATTTATCAAGAAAGTCAATATTAACAACATAATGAATACTTCAAAATTAAAAATAAAACAATTAGTAACAACGGATCAAGTACAAAAAGTAAATTAAAATCATAAATAACAAGATTAGAGTAGTTTGAGTTGAAACATGCAGAGTGTTATTCTTAGAGAGAAAACTCTTTACTGCATTGGTAATTTTAAATCTTATAGTGCACTCCTCTTGCAAGATAGGTCAACTCGTTAGATCGTTCAAGTACAACAAAAGATTTTTAAACCAAAGAACACTACTTCAAAAATTATATTTTATTAGTAGAAATAATTTTAAGAGAAAGATATAAGTGAATTGTTGTGTGTATTTTTTTCTTTTACTTAGACACCTATATATAGATGCACCAACATGTGCTTAATTTTGAAAAATTTTAAAAATTGGACCCCAAGTGTTAATCTAAAAGTAAGCAACGTGCACACCAACGATATGCAGCAGGTTTTTCAGAAAATAAAATTGTACCATGCCTTTAGTCAAAATAACATTCAAAATGTTATTGTTATGCCGTTAAGAGGAATTGATAAAAATCAAGGAGAATTGGTCAATACAAATGCGCACATATGAGAGAGAATAAAATTGATTGATAAAAACTAAATAATTATATATATATATTAATTTTCAACATTTTCTTCATCTTATACAGTATTCTCACAAGTCCCAAACTACAATGTCTCACATGATAATTTGACTGGAGAGGTTGAAGGAGACGAGAGAAAAGGTTTAGGTGGAATTTGCAAGGTCTCAACTTTACTTTCTAGCATTTCCAACACTTCACTTATGGCTGGTCGAGTAGAAGGATGAGTTTGTATGCACCATAAGCCCACTATTGTCATCTTTCTCACCATTTTCTCATCACTCTCACTTCTTATGTTTTCTAAACCAAGCTCTTGATTTGGTTCAAGACGATTGTAAATCCAATGAGGAAAATATATTTCACTCGACCGGTCTACTTCAGCCTTAATATTCTTTCTTCCTCCAACTATTTCTAACACCATCATTCCATAACTGTAAACATCTGATTTATGTGACACTGCACCAAAATTCCTCGAAAAAACTTCTGGTGCTATATAGCCTGCTGTTCCTCTAGCGCCAAATATTGATATTATACTTTCTTTTCTTGTACATATTTTTGCAAGTCCAAAATCTGAAATCTTGGGATTGAAATTCTCATCCAACAGAATGTTATGAGGTTTTATGTCAAAATGTAAAATTTTAGTATTGCAACCTTTATGCAGGTATTCTAGTCCTCGAGCAACACCGATTGCAATATCATACATCGTTTGACAGTCCAATTGATGATCTGTCACTTGAGCATTTTCTTGAAAGATAAACTTCTCGAGTGATCCATTAGACATAAACTCATAAATTAAAGCCCGTTTAGAACCTTCGAAACAGAACCCCAAAAGTGTAACAATGTTAATATGAGAAGTTCTGCTAATACTTGCAACTTCATTGATAAATTCCTCACCACTATCTTTTAACTCATTTAGGATCTTGACTGCAACATAACGTCCATCCTGTAATTTTCCTTTGTATACACTACCGAACCCCCCTTGGCCTAATTTGTTTCCGAAGGAGTTGGTCACTTTCTTTATCTCAGAATAACCATACCTCTTGAGTTGAAGAGGTCTATGTCTTTTCAGAAACACCTCAATCCGTTGATTGGTTGGATTTTGCTTCCTCCATTTTGTATAGAAGATCTTAATCGTCGCTAGCAATAGAACAACTGTAACAGCTGGATAAGTTATTCAAATTAGAAAGATTAATTTAGAAGTATAAGAAAGTAATGTTATACAGTGAAGTAGAACAAATTTTGGATATCCTTCTCTACATAACTAATAACTAATGATTTCAAGCCAGATCTATTATTAGGCTAGGAACGTAAGGCACAAGAAAGCCAGAACTTGGCAGATGTGCAGCTAATTTTGATCTTACGGCTGCTTTAAGTGCAGCTGCTTATGTTTTGCACCTTTTAGTAATCAAGAACAATAAAGAACTATAATAATGCTTTAGTTTAAGACTGATTTACAACTGAGTTAAAGACTTTGGAGTTTGGAGTGAAGGACTAAGGCAAAATCACAGTGGCCAGTATACATGGAAGGAATTTGGAGATAGGATAGGAATTCCGAATTGAAATTTTACTTTCCAGGATGCATAAAAGAGACAAAAACAAATGATGTTGTTAAAAAAGAAAGAAAAACTCAGTGGATTATACACTTTGATAGTGGAGAGTGAAACCGAATACCCTTAAACAAATAAAATAGAAAGTATTTGATAAAATATAGTTATTATATTAAAAGCATAAAAATAATTTAGTTCTTTCATTTTAGTAACTTTTTTTACTGTTCTTACATTTTAGTAATTAAAAATATTAAATATGATATATCAAATACTCCTTAAGTAATTAAGGAGTTAGACACAAGTACCTAATGTGTTGAATTCAATGTCAAACCGTTAGGACAGTGTCTGAATTTGATTCTTCACAAAAATAATCTTTAGTCAAACTTTACTTACTTCTAGTCGAATTAGATTAATTTAAAATAAAACCTTAAAACACTAGTGCGACACTAAAAAATACTCCTTAAGTAAAACAATTATTAGCATCCTTTAAAATATGAGTTAATCGTCTATACATTATCAGTGTAAAGTTTTTTTACACTAACAACCAATTATATCTTTTAATTGTGTCATGTCACTGTTAAAAATAAATATGTTACAGTGACATGGTACAATTAAAAGATATAATTGGTTGCCAGTATAAAAAAACTTTATACTGGCAATTTATAAATGATTAACTCTTAATATATAATATACATGATTTATTATTTATTTTGCATAAAGACACTAATGAAAATGAAAATTAATCTACTTGTATTACCTAGTCCGAGTCCTAGTATCATTTTCACAATCCAATTTCTACTCCCTGCAAAAGTTAGAAAACAATTAGCTACTATTTTGGTTAAAATCATTTGAAACGAAATCAAATGTTAAAATTCCTCCCGGAAGTCAAAGAACACGAATACAGAGCAAATGTTTAATTTGTTCTCAAAATTTAGCCGAGTTTGGCTGATCACCTACCTTTGGCTAATTCTAAATTAGATATTATGTTAATTTATATATGAGATAGAGAATAATGTATAGTATGTGTGTGGAATCCAAAGTATTTGTGCATACCTTTGGCGCAATGGAAATTTCCTTTACTGTCAAGTAAACATTGGCTTTCTCCGCGATTAAGGCAGTTTTCACAAGTATCAGATAATCGAACTTCAAGTTAGTTTTGTCTTTTACATTTTATATTTTATGATTCTTTTATAAAATTATTCTCTAGATTTTTAATTACACACACACACACACACACACACACACACATATATATATATATATATATTGTTAAACTTAAAATGTAATGTTAGTTATATTTATATTATGCACATTTTAATTTGTGCAATATACAAGATTAATATTTTTTTCTCTAACTAAATATATAATAAATAAATATTTTTATTATTTGCATTATAATTAAA